AAAATATTAAAGCATAACAACATTATAATAATATAATATTTAGAAATCATTATGATTATACGAATAAACAAGTATAGATTATTAAAATTTTCATTAAAAATGTATCTATCCAATGAATTTATGATCGATATTTCATTTGGTTTTATAAGTATCGCCGCAATGTATAGTAAAATGCACTATTATATATCAAAATACTGATGGTCTAACTATTCATTTGATGATGATTGTAACCGGCAAAAAAAGAGCATTTAAAGCTAAAAAATATATATATGTAATAATTAATAATGTATAATAAATTGGTACACCTTACTAGATGTTTTTCGTTTTTTGTTTTTGACAATAATTTACGTGTTTTTTAACTTTCAGAAAACAATTTTAAAAATTTATAATTATTTATAAGTCAATCATAATATTATTTTAAAATAGGAATGGCAAAAAACTCTGAATCGGCTTTGTGAATAACTGGTTATTATTATTATTATTTATTATTATTTTCCAACATTCAATAATAATATTTGTGAATATTATTAAAATACATGATTTTCAAACTTTTGAAGGAAGGTAGGTAGGTAGACATTATATGCATCATAAAAATACAAAATTAATTGCAATATGATCTAAAAAGTAATGTTATTAATATATACTGTTAGGGTGACATGGATGAGATATCTATTGACGAAGAAACTGGAAGCGAATTTCCTAGTAGCAAAAAAAACATACCTGAAAATATTTTGGAAATGTTTAACAAAATAAACGAAAAAACCTCAGTTATGGAGCAATAAATTAAAACATTTGAATATTAGTTTTTTTTTTTATTCAAAATAATATATTGTAAAATATTTTTTGATTATAAAAGCCTCGTGCAATTCAATAATTTCTAGAACTGTATAGAGGCGAAAAAGAAAGACAAACGTCTAAAAAAATACAAGTATGTAATGATGTGCGTCTAAGTAATCATAAGAGTTAAGATGTTGATGACTTTTGCATTTTTTTTCATTTTATTTTATACAATGCTATCCTTGCTAAAAATTTGTTTCATGCTCCCTTGATGCAGAATATTCTAATTTTATTTTGCATTTTTTGCATTTTTAGCTATAAATGCATTTTTTTGTTTTTTAACGTCATTTTTTAACATTTTTTCATCTTTTAGAGCATTTTTTGTACCTCTTATACAATGTGGGGCATTTTTCACAAATTATAGATTTTAGGGCAAACGTTACAAAAAATATGTTACGCAAATATTTTTAATTTTTAATATTGAAATTTATTTATAAATTATTTAAATGCTTCTACTATTAGACCCATTATTATACCCATATCTCTAATAAAAACTATTATTTATAAATAAGTTTTTTCACTTACTTAATTAGTATTTTAGATAACTATTAAGATCATTTTTTGAAGTTCTTAGGGCATTTTTGTGTGTTATTTAGGTCATCAACATCCTAACTCTAGTAATCATGTATAATTAAAATTAAATATTTAAATATAGTATAATAAAATAATTTAAAATAATTATGATAACCTATAATTATAATATTAAATAAGATAAAATTATAAAAACGATAGATAGCACATATACACACATACAGGATATTAGTTATAAAAATGCAGGTCACAACACAGTGTCTTTACCATCGCTTTGTGTAGATGATCACAAGCGAAAGTAAAAGATTACACAGATCGGATATACAAAAATATGTAAGTGTTGAAGTTTTTCATAATTAAAATTAAATATATAATAAATAATTACATGAAAGAATTGAAATAAAGTCAATAAGTTTACTTAAATAAAGAAAGTTTTGTAATTATTTAATGCACACTGTTTACCTTACAACAGTGGTGTATTTAGAACTGAACTTTGGGAGGGGGGGGTTTAATTTTTTTATTAACATATTGGATGACGTGACACTAATTTATTGTAAATATACTGTTTTGTTATATACTTAAACTTTTTAATACAAATATACAATAGATCGTAATGTTCCTATGCAATTGTAGTTTCGTTTCACTAAGTTAATAATATAGTTCAATGGTTGATAAAATAACGTGTAGGTAAGTACATGAAAACTTTAACGATTGTCGATTATAGATTAAAGTGTAACACACTATAAGTGATTAATTGCACAAAATAAAATATGTTTTATGACGACGATAAAAGATTGTCATAATAATTACACCGATCGTCCATGTCCATATCTACAATATCTTCATGGAAATACTCATATTCCTGTAGGTACCCACATTAGATAAAGTAAGCTGTACTATTTAGTATTTATAATTAGAATTACATAGAACAATATTACAAAGGTATTTTAAAATGTACACTGTTAATTTTATTATATTGGATAATTTGTTATACCTAAGTACAATATAATTAATTTATAGGTACTAAAAATTTTAGTTTTCTCGTAATAAATTAAATCACCCAACAATTTCGAGGGGGGTATCCCCCCCTCCACCATTAGTACGCCACTGCCTTACAATGTACTCAAAATATCATTAGAGAAGTCGCTGTCAGCAGAAGAAAGGTAATATACTGATTTCTGATTAATTTAAAGGCTTATAATCCAACCTCGATATATATAAATATTATAACGGCCTTTTATTTTAATTCATTAAACAGAGATTTGGTCAAAAAAAACTTCGTTTAATGTAAGAGAAAAAAATACATTTAAATTTCCATTATGTCACAAAATTTCCAAAGGAGCGACAGTTTTATACGTTATATTGAGATTTGTTTACTGTGAATTTGAATTTATTTTACTTTAAATGTATAAAGTTTGATTCACAATAAGTTTTGACTTATTAGTTATCGAAGGATTAGGAGAAAAAATAATTATTAATTATTAATTAAACACATCGTATGTCATACATAAATATTTTTTTATATATTTTTATTAATTGATAGGATTCTTTACATATTGTATATAACAAGCTGACCCGGCTAACGTTGTTTTGCCATATAAATGATATCTAATGAATATTTTGGTATTCAAATAAAAAATAATTAAATTATTGTAAGTGGGAGGGAATGTCGTATAATGGTATATGACTGAGATGAATGGTGTACTGTGAATGATGACGGCCCATAAAAATAACAAAACACCAAATATCCTCACCGCCCATAAAGTAAATTTGTAAAAATGTATGTGGTTCGTTTGGCATTGGTAGCAATGAGCCCACTCTATGATAAACTTGGCTTTTGATTTTGAATATTGAATTAAATTGTTGACCATTAGCAGCATTATTTTTAACTATTTCTGATTTCTGAACGATGTCATTTGGAAACATGAATTGAATGTTCGAATTGACTTCAGGAACAGATTAGAATCTGGATCCGTACCGATAAGTAAACCGTTCAATAATTCAGGTGGTGTATCAATTTCCGGTAGTTGCACTTTTCTTGACGCGCAACACATACCGGTTGGCTAATTTTTGAACTTAAGCGCATTACAATAAGGGCATTCCTTGTCCATAGCACCAATCTCTACTTTCGAATGAGCGTAATATTTAATATCGGGCCCATACTCGAATGCTAGACGAAGGAATGAATTGGATGTAAATGCTTTATGTACTTGTTGGCGTTGTCGGTCATTTGCTCTGCGTGTGTCAACTACGAATTGACGCACTTCTAATCGTTTTTTTTTTATTTTGTTCAGCTTGTGCCTCACGCAATTGCACCATGTTCACACGTACATTTTCATTATTCGGTTGGATTTGTACGTCTCTTTTTTGTGCTCTTCTATCTCGCATGATTGTACTTTTGGTCTTTCGACGGGCCAAATCAGACCCCTTGCGTCTTTCTGGCATTGTACAAAATACACAAATTGATACAATTAAAGTTCACATATGTGATTATTAACCTTTGTTATAAATGAGAGAGAAAGCTTATTGTGTTAGATCGACCCATTCAACGGTCGAATCGTTTCTGATAAATTCATTAAATACGATAACCGTGATAAATACACGGTCGTATAATATTTATTTATTTTTTTTTTTTTTATCGAAAAAAAATATTCACAACCCGGCGTCTATGGCCATTAGTTACAGTTAGTTACAGAAAAAATTTTAGATGGAGTTGAATAAATTGGTTGATTTTAAGAAATCTAACATCTTGATGTTGTCCTCTGTTTCTGGTCCTAGAGCGGTGTCGAGTGACGTGTCGATTCCGATCCTTTGTCTATCCTGTTCATGTTTGAGACATTCTGATATCGTGCTTTACAGTCAGCCTGACACCGCAAATGTCACATATGGGAGCTTTTTCTTTAATATTATGGGTATACATATTGCATAATCGGTATAATATATAGTTCGATAAATTTCTCAGAACAATTATATCTACACGCCGATAAAAAGTAAAAACCGAAAAAGAGGTCAGGTTACAGGTAGATGGAAACATAATCTAATCTAATAATATATAAATATACAATTTACATGTTAAATATTAAAAAAAATTTGTGATGAGCCACCCTTTACACCTAAGGGTATGAAAAATAGTTAACATCACTCTCTGAGACATACTTAATATACACAAAAGATTTCATGAAAATCGGTCCAGCCGTTTCGGAGAGTTCGGTAACAAACATTGTGACACAGGATTTTAATATATTAGATTAAAAACCTGTTATTTTTCGTAACAATCAATTGTCCACATTCTGGTCCATGGCGTTTATAAGAGAGTGACAAAAACTTGTAGGTACTTAAAAAATCTCATTTTTAGACCTACCACGTTTCAATAGTAGGTATTCAATAACAGTTTACTCATTGCACAAATTAATAATGGGGTAAAATGATAAATTACACGATTAATGACATTTTCCCATTATAACTACATACTGTTATTATTTTTACTGTAGTTTTTAATTTTTTTAAATTTTTTAAATTTTTTTTTTTTTAATCATTCATTTCACAACTAAATTGGGATACTTATTTTTTTATTATTATAATCTTAAATATATACATTAAAGTAGGTAACATTTATTCCTTCGATAATTAGATTTATTTAAAAATTCAGAGTTATAACAGAAACATATTATTATTAGATAGCAGTATTTTTCAATTTCTCACAGTCTGTGATAGGAGCTTGATTTAAAAAACCACGTAAAATCATTGAAAAAGTAATAAACTGATTTTGATTATCACAACCACAATTCCCAGTTGGGTCACTTAAATCGATATTTTTTGCTACTATTCCTTTTGCTTTTATGTCGCTTGCAAATTTACCCTATAAATTAAAAATAATACATAAATTCATGCATGAAGAATACTTGTTATAATTTAAAAAATTTTACTTTTTGAAAAAATGAATCGGCGTTATCAGCACACCAGTAAAGATCATACTTCTGAGTGTTATCAGGATCACAATACTAAAAATATTTAAAGGTATTTAAAAAAAAATCATAGTTATTAACGTCAGTTTTTTTTAAACGATAGTGCTTTTATATCTAACATATGTTTAACAAAATAAATAAAATATTTATATCTAATTTTTTGATGTGATTGATAGTAGACAATCAAAACCAACACTTATAGTGTTTTTTGTTTTAGTTAAATTGGTATAGATAACTTCATAATAGTGAATAGTAATAAAAAAAAAATATAATGTTAATTTTTAATTTTATTTTTAGTAGATTAATCAAAACAATGAATAAGTATTATTGTATACTTTTTTATATGACACGTAACATTTGGGTATATTATCAGATATTTCTGGATCTGTGATCGGGCTCACTGAAAATTCAAGATAAATTTTGTCTTTTGCAATGTTTGAGCTTTTTAAAACATTAGCGAATGCCGTCTGAAAAATTAAATATTAGTTAATTAAAACTATGCTCCTACAAATACCTACTTTACCAAGGTATTATTTGTCTGAACATTACTGTCATTTAATGGAACGATCCCACTCTTAAACTGGTCATTACAAGGATTAAATTTATCAAAACCAATTATATAATAATCCATAAGATCATTCATCCAGTCAGCAAAATTGAACCCTATCAATCAAAACGATAAATACATTTGCATTGTAGAAATATTGTTAATATAAATAATTATTAAATATTCCTATTATTATAGGTCGGTTTATTAGCTATTTGAATTTACAACTTACAACCTGGAACATTAGGATTATTACTATAATACATCATGCTGGTTGCATTCACATAAAGTCCAACCTCAGGAGTAACAGGTTTTGTTTTTAATTCAGTAACAAATTGTTTCAAATTATCGAAAAATGTTTTATCAAACTGAACATCATTAGGCTAAGGACAGTAAATAATAATTGTATCAGTATTTATTAGTTTTTAACTACTGATATTCTTTTGACAATATTGATATATCAATTAATATTTTTGAACAAAAAAATATCGTTGTTATATAACTATAATTTACATATCATAAAATATTTATTATTTTTATCAATAAATAACTAAGTCTAACTGAGAATACATATTATCTAGTATTCATATTGAAATCAATATTGTAGATGGTACTTTTCTAATTTATTATATAAATTGTTCTTAAATTTTGTTATATCAATATGTTAAAGTAATTGTATATAGCTGTACCAAAGTTATGTGCTACTTTTTTTATTTTTTGCAACCCAGTTGAATGTACCATTGCTTGTTCATGTGTATTATACCAATCATGAAAATAAAAAGTCATTACAACTACCTAGACTTATATTTACAAATCCAGCCGTCTAACATGAATTTTGCTCTAGTACAAATAAATGGTAATTAAAAATGTTGTTTGTAATAAACATTAATTTTAGGAGTTAGGACGGTTTGATTTTTCTGGTATGTTTTTATTTTATGTCTCCATTTTCTGATTAAACTAAAAATTAATGACTATTTTTTAAAGAAGAAATCAATTCAAGTCAATATGCTTGAACAATGAAATATTATCCAACTATAGTTTACGTATTCATAAAATCTTTTTTTTATCCTAACCCGATATACCCAAGAATACGAATTATCTTTTATACATAATAAATTATATCCTATTTAGATTAATTTTTTTTTTAGCATTTTAGTTAGGGTGTGTCCTGTATTTGCTTCCTTGCTTTACACCCTGGGAACAGTTGATGAAACTTCGTATCATCAAACAGTTAAATTATACGGAGCTCTGGTCTGTGGACTGTGGTTTACGCATCTCTGCTCATCTCGCATGCAAGCGAACAAATGGCGTACCAACCAAAACATCCCATCTAAGAATTTTTTGACGAAGGGCGAAGGCTTTAGTAAATAAACTCATACGGCTTCTATTATTAAAATAATAATTAATATGATTAAATATAATACATTTTTTTAAAACATCAAAGCTTTTAAGGTATTTGTCATGTGATTGAATAGTACCAAAAGTGGTATATATTTAATATAAGAAGTGATAAGTGTCTCACGTTTTAAAAAATGAAATATGACTTTTAATTTTTTCCGATAGTTGTAGTCGATGATATGAAACTGTGTTAAAAAAAATTTAAACAAACTAGAGAAGTAGTTATATATTATATGTTAGTATTTTTTCTTGTTAGTAATAATCCTTTATTTATAAAAAATTAGAATTAAATGTCTATGATTATCAAAACATATATCATGAATCATGTATACAATATTATATACGTAATTATGGAACTAGCGATGAGAATGAAATCACTTAAATAATAGAACAGAAAATAAAAGAGGAATTCGATGACTTAAATAAAATATTTATTGGAAATGAAGGAATTAAAGATGAGAATGAAATCATTAAAATAGAAAAATTGAAATCAAATAATCGTGAAATTAAAAAAATATATTCTAATCTTATAGGGTTAGAATAATAATAAAAAAAAAAAAAAACGAAACACTTTTGATAAATTTAGTTTTGACAATTATTTGATATACAATGCCAATATATACATAAAAGATGCAATAAGTGACTTAATCTCTGAATATTCAGAATATTTAAGCTGGATAAATTATCAAATGTAAACTATTATTATATTCGAGCTCAATATAATTAAACAAATATTCATATATTAAAACGTATTATGATTTTTTTTAATTTAATATAATACCTATTTATTTTAAAGCAAAATAAAGAAACAAAACAAACAATGAAATAAATTAACAAATCGTGGTTTTAAAAGGAAGCAACCAAAATTTATTAATTCACTGAATTATTAATTTAATTTAATTTTTATTTAACTCTCAAAGTTATTTTAATTTTTAAATTATTCTGTCACTAAGTAAATATTTAAAGTAACAAACAAGTTTATTTACAAGTAAATATAAAATGATTCGTTATGATTATAAATCTAGTTTATGGAATAAAAATAATATTTATTTATACTATTATTATTGACTTAACAGTTTAGTACTTACTGGATCACTATTCATATTCCTTAAAGTTAACCCCGTTATATTAGTATTATCTAAACAATTTTTTAAATCGAATAATTTGTCTGCTGCATCTTTTGCATTTTTAGCTAAATTTATCCAAGCTGCGTTATCAATGTAATCAATATACAAATACACTGGTTTACCAGTTAATGATAAATTAATTATGTTTGCTGTAATAAAAAAAAAAAAAAAAAA